ATTAGCTTTTTAGTAATTTAATTACTATCAATAGGCATTAAATTTCATTTGGAACCTAGTGTTCACCCCCAAGTACATTTGTTTTGGTAAACTAAGGTACATGTTGTGACTTCTCTTACTTAAACTGCCCCTTTTGATTGAAAATTCTCTCATATAATGGGGATGCGCATAATGACCGCAACAACACGTTGACGACAGTTTGTCTTAGCGGGTCTTTAGATGATTTATAAAAATATTTTTTAAGTATAAACTGGTGTAGTTTGTTCCTAAAGATATGTACTAAGACATCTAAAAACTATTTTGGTATTATCTACACCTAAACCGTATAAAACATTCAATGTATACATGTATACATGCATGTGTTATTTAGGTCCTAATTCGATAGATTTAAGAGCCATTTATTTTTTTTATCGTCGTAAAATAATTCAGGTCTGAAGGGGTTAATGTGTGTTGTACAATTAGGGTGAGCCAAAAAAACTAACCTATCGGATTTATGGGTTAAAATGAACCTACATACCAAGCAAAAAATTTCCCTGCAAGGCAAAATTTTTTGCTCAATTTTAAAAGGTGTCGGTGAGCACAAACTGCAGTTTTAGTGATTTTTTACACTTTTCAAAGCTTTCAAACATACGAATTTTTGAATTAAAAAAAATAATCATGGTATAGATTCTTTGGGAAATTTTATGCTCTACAAGAATCCGCGACGTAAATGTTATCTCAAACGGTTCAAAAGTTATAGTCTTTTTAATGAAAAAAGATTTTTTTACGTATTATTTCAATGGAAAACTTAGAATGCTCACCGACACCTTTTAAAATTGAGCAAAAAATTTTGCCTTGCAGGGAAATTTTTTGCTCGGTATGTAGGTTCATTTTAACCCATAAATCCGACAGGTTAGTTTTTTTGGCTCACCCTATTCTACAAATTTTTCACAGACTTTTGTTTTGCCCAAATCCTCGTGACGAATGAGTCGAATTGTTTGTTAATGTTTAAGGCTTTTTTTATCATTTTTAGTGAAGCGTTGCGTCGTCCTTTAATAAAATCACGTACTTTTTCGATCAATTTGACCTTTTTTGACGTTCATTATCCTCCAACGACTCCTTTCAAAAAACATTTATGCGACTTGTAAATAATTATTATTACCTTGAAAATTAACGGCTTATACAAACAGAGTGTTTCTATGCACTTTTACCACATACTTCCACACCTATACCGCTTATTGCCTATATTTTGTATAGATGACCTTGTTCCCGTTTCTAAGGGGAAATTTGTTCTCGTAGTGTGCCATTTTCCTTTATGCGCATAGTCAGTTCATAAGTGGGGGATTTAAAATATATAATACCATAAACATCACATAACATTAGATAGAGAAATTAATACGTCCATTTATGATACGAATTGTCATCTAAACAAAATTTAGGTTATATAAAATTTTTCTAAATTATTTGGTTCCATAGCCTGGGTTAAGCTTACAAACATTTTTGTGATTTGGCTTTATAAAAAGCAAAAAGTGGCATAATATGCATATTATGTAAAATCCACTAAAATCTCGTTAAAACAATGGAAAAAAACAATGCCAAAACAATTGGTATACAACAGAAAACAAACAAAATTGATAATTATAATAACCATCTACATTTTTATATGTCTACCATAAAAATCTTTTGGCTATGATACGATAATCGTGATCAAAATACGATGTTGCCAAATTTTTGCTTTTATAAAAATGCTATTATAAAATCTAAAATATCATCATTTTTTGAGTTTATTATTGTTAAATGCTTTTTTCATACAATTTATATCCAATTTATTAAAAAGTATTTATTATACTTCATAAATAGGGACAAAAATATGTTATTTTTTTTTAAACCGGCAATGCAGCTGACGCATGCGCTTTAATGCCCGCTACCCTGTGAGAACATTTCCCCTACTTTACCCCCCGAAATGGAAACAGTCTCAGTTAGAAATGATTAAATTTTGTATATGTGTGGAAGTATGTGACTTTTACCAAATTTTCCGTGGAATTCAATTAAAGCTCTTTGCTCCATAATAAATTTTTAACATAAACTCAAAACTTGTTTGGAAAGATATGTTATATCTTTGTTATTTGTCAACCAAATGTAATAAAATTAAAAAATAATAGAGAACGCTTTAAGCTTGATAATGCATGTTCGAACACATAAATGGTACCATTCGGGAAACTTAATTGTAGCACTGTGTATGACAAAAAACTTACTTATCTTGCTTGGCTTTGACCTGCTGCTGACATTGTTTCAAAATATATGTAAAATCATCTTGAAATTGAAACAACGAACAATCTATAGTTGTGCACATTTTATTTGTTTCATCTTGGTGAAAAAGCCAGTGATGTATTAACTTATAAACCAACTAAAAATAAACATTAATAGTATATTACACTACAAGGGCAGAAAGTGTGAGATTCCTGCACAGTTCAGGGCTCTCACACTTTCTGCCCGTGTAGTGTATACTATTTTTCTTGCTACCCCGCAGAAAATACGGGAAAAAATTAAATGTATATAAAAAAACTTGTGTCAAAATTAAAATCTGACGTTTAATTTAATTCTGACGTTTACATTCAAAATCAATCAAACTGTAGCGTTGTCATGGTAATTCAGCGGTGCCAATACAGTAAAAATAAAAGGTTGTATTTTAATTAACAAATTACTACTTTATAACAAATAAAAGTACCATTAAACACTTAAAACAACATAAAAAGTAAAAAAGTAAAAACATAAATTGTTTATTTGTTGTTATACTTGCAAAATTATGGTTTAAAACTGTCATATTTTTGTGTTTCTCATGTTGGCAGTACGAAATTTGAATGTTAAGCACACGACTAAAAAATTTTTACTCCCGCTATTAGAGTGTGCACGTATAGCTTGACCAATGCAAGAAACGTAAACTTTCTGCCGTGAAATCGGGGACGAAACAACGTATTTTGAGTCGAGGTAGTAAGAAAAATATTTTATAACATAAATATAAATAACCTACAGAATTGTATAGTTCCACAAACAGCCAAAGAGTATTTGTAAAAACCAGAACAATAATAAGAGTATTTGGATAATCTGAAGTAATTTTTAATCCCATTGGTACGATAATACTAAGTGGTATTATAAAAATGTAAATCAGTACACTAAAAACAATTAAATATAATATTATTAGAATATACATAGTGCGAAAATTAACCTGTGCCGCCATGTATGTGTTATAATAGGCATTTTAAAGATTAAACTTTTCTCTTCATTTAGTTAACATTTCTTTCCAAATAAGTTTTGATTTAGTAAGCGTTTTAATAAATTTCAAAAAAATACAAAAAAAAACTCGTATTGTTTCAGCACGACGTCTCTGAAATGCCGAACTAATTGAGTTTTCATTATCATTTAAAGTGTGTGAAACAAATTTGACTAAATCCTTTTGAAGAATAAGTCGAATTGTCTATGTTTAAGGCTTTTTTCATCACTTTCAGTGAAACATTGCGGTCTTCTGCAATAATTAAATCAGGTACATTTTTTATCAATTTGGGTGTCCGAGCTAAAATTTCACTGATCATAACGTATATATCCGCCGTAGGCTGCGTTTGCCAAGTCACTTATAAAAGCATTTCTTAAAAGGATGGAAAAAGCTGCCTTAGCTTCTGGACCTTGCGCCTAATTTTAGATAGCAACGTGTTAAGGTTCATCATCCCCCAATGACTCTTTACTAGTGGTGGCCGGTAGTCAACGCGCAGGTGAGGCACGGGAATATTTTTACTCTGTCGCTCTCGTTGCACTTACAAACATATTAAGAAAGAAACCGGCGCGTGCCTACCCTGTGCGTAAATCACCAGCTCTCTACCTTCTAAAAAAACATTTAGGCCACTCTAAAAAAAGTTTTTTACCTTGTCACTTAATGGCATATACTTGCCTCATCAATCGGAGTGTTTCTGAAGTTTTGTGTGGAATTTAATTAGAACTCTTTGTTTTATAATACAATTTTAATATTAAATTGAAACTTTTTTGGGAAACAATCTTTGTTATTTTTTAACCAAGGGTCATAAAAGAGAAAGGTTTAAGTTTTAAAATGCATGTTCGAACAAATATATATATGGCGCCACTGGTTTTAAAAATGTAAAAAACAAACACTCTCACTCAAGTGTACGAGTAGTTCGTGGTAACAAATGTTTTTAGTTAGTGGTCTATGATTAGTTTTTCTTAGTTTTTCGACGGTGATTTTAATTGTCAAATAATAATATTATGTTTTCTGTATTAATTAATACACTTTATATAAACTTTATATAAGTACTTTTTTATCCCTGGCAATAAACTATTGTGGTAAACCTGACTCCCACAAAATTGGTGACCCCGACGCTATGAACAAGCAGAAGGCACAAATAATCCTATTGATCCGGTACAAGGATCCGTTACTGTACAAGGTATGGCACCTGCCCACTATGAAGTGCACAGATTGCTGATAAAGATAACAAAATTAATACAACAACAGTTGTCAAGCTTCTGACTCCTTTCTGGAATCCTGTAAGGTATTTTACATCTGCAGACGTAAAATTCAAAATACATCACATCCGCTCAGACGAGTTCAAGTTCCTTCACATTGCATCTCACCTGGACGCTGACCTACTTGACATCGTTGGGGACCAAGATGAGACGCTTTCTGAGAGGCCAAGTACTTGGAAGGAACAAGTCATCAGCGTTTTTGCAAAGGCTACGAAAGTCAGCTGGAGGGCAATGTTTTAAAGGTGTGCTTCGTACCCTTCTTATGGAGCAGCTGTCTGGCTCAGTAAGCAGTACATTAGCTATTTGCAGACCTCACCTTACTGGCGCAGCAAGCAGATCGTGCCATTGACGCAGCCCGACTACAGGTATTTAGCATTCAAAATCCCACACCAGCAATAAATGTGGTAATAAATTCAAACTTGGAGCCACTGTTGCTGCTCTAACACAAGAGACTATACAATTCACTTATAAAAGCCGAAGTTTAAACGGAGGACGACGAAGAAGAGAACAACGATCTTAAGCCAGCCCTAACACAAGTGGCCCTGCAAGCTACCTTGTTCTTGGAAGGTAACTCAACCGGCGAATTAAGCCCCTCCAAACGTGTTTATATCATGGATAGCAGCACCAAAATCAAATTCCTTATTAACACAGGAGCCTGTCTTACCTCGAGCAAACTACAAAACTTTAACCAAATTTCGACTGCAACGGCAGTAGAATAGATACGGTCAGAAAAGGCCTTGTCTTAACCTCGGACTACGTCGAACATTTTTCTGGCAATTTATTCTTGCTGACGTCGCACAAGCCATAATTTAAGCCGATTTTTCGCACTCACCGTAGATCTTTGACAAAAAAAGTTGATCAAAACAATGTCTAGATTGTTTACTGAGGTTAGCATATCTTTAACAACACAGCCTCAGTCCTATTCTTTAATCAATGTTACCAGGACATTCTTTCGCCCTGTAGAAAAGCACCAGGTGAAACATAATATCCTTACTCATTGCCAAGCGGGCTTGTCGTTTAGCTGGAGAAAAACTACAAGCAGCCAAACAGGAGATCTAAGATATGATTCAACAAGGAATACGTCAGCCTTCTAAAAGCGAGTGAGCATATACGTAATAAAAAACCAGCAGAAAAATGGAGAGTATGTAAATGCTCTTTTGGTCAAAGTAAAGTACGCTACCTTGGATTTAATGTCGATCCACGAGGCATTATACCACTTTAAGATCGAGTTTAAGCAATACTGGATTTCCCAAGAGCCTTGACCATCCACCAACAAAAATTTATGGGAATGTGGAACTTCTATCTTGTCTGTATTCCTGAAGCAGCCACAGCCCAAGCATCATTGATTAAGCTGACATTAGTTTCCAAAAAAGGGACAAACGACCAGTTCAATGGAACCCCGGGGCCCAAGAAGCGTTTGAATTGTGCAAGAAGAAACCTTAAAACTCTGTCCACCTTACTCATCCACGCGTTGATGTGCCACTCGTACTACGCTGAGACGCATCAAACATCGCCATTCGCAACATTCTTGAAGAGGAGATTAATGAAAAACTACACCCGCTATGCTTTTTCTCTATGGATCCAGGAAGTTGACAGATCGCGAACTATTGACAATCCATCAAACTGTCAGGGACTTTAAGCCCCTTATTTAGGGCAAGCAGTTAGTAATCATAACTGACCACAAACCCTTGATCTATGCTTTTGAAAAGAATACATGCGTCGTACAAAGTTGCTCGACAGTTAGAGGAAATTGCACAATATTCAACAAACATAGTACATGTCGCAGGAAAGGGCAATATAGTCGCAGATACCCTATCTAGAATTCAAGCTGTTAATATGTCTGTTGTTGTCTCCACTTAAGAGCTTGCTAATGCCCACACTAATGGCGAAGAACTTCAGCAGGTTCTCGCTTCCCCAGATAATACGTCTCTTTAGCTACGAGGAATGCAAGTTGACGGATCGCCGAAAATAGTTTATATCGACATATCTGGATCGAATATAAGCCCATAAATACTATGCTCCACACACTACCACCACGTGACTACGTACGGAAAGCAGTCTTTTGAAAATTAGGCATTTAAGGCTTTTCAGGTTATGTATCTGTCAAAGTATGACTATACATATAAAATTTTAATAAATTACAAGTCACGGGAGTATTAAATATTAACAAATCGCAAGGTTCTCTAAAAGTTGCTTGTTTTCTTATAATCCACCTTAAAGTAGGTATGCCGAGAATTATGCACAAGTTTTGTAGTTAGAAGTATGAAAGCTTCAATTTAATTTGAACCAAATTCAACAATTATTTAGAATACCTATATGTATTAACACACAAATAATTCAAAGTATTTATTTATTTTGTTCAAAATAGATTTTTTTAACTGTTAATAGTTAAAATCAATGTTAAAACCAAATATTTTTTATTTTTATTTTAAAAGCTTTTCATGCAAACGACCACATCTGGTTTTCATCTAAGAGTATTGATATTTTCAAGAAGGGCAATAAAACCCCACTTTTACCTAAGATAATAATTTTTAGGGGCTGCATGAGACCTCTAAACATTTGTAAAAACCTAGCATTAAGTTTGTTCACTTATTCATGTAGACACGTAACATTTAAATTAAATTTATATTTATTTATCAAACTATGTTTTAATGATATTTCAACACATACGCAAAAAAATAACTAACATAATTATGGTCCTTCGAACCGGATATTTAACAAGTAAACAGTTTTTTGTGCACACCGAAATGGTCAAAGTTGCATCAAGTCAATCATCAGTTTCCTCACGCATGAATATTCAGTTTTTTATGCACACCGAAATGGTTAAAGTTGCATCAAGTCATTGGAAGTAATTGGAATCATTCATCGAATTCATCACATATGGACATCGCCAACCTGAAAATCTGGACATCGACACTTAAGTGAATTACAGTGCATCAAAGTGCATTACAGTGCCCAAGCAACACACTCATTTGCATAATCGTTTAATAAACGTATAATAAACCATTTAATCGTATATTTTTGGTTTTGGTATAATTATTTAACATATATTAAGCGTTTTTTATAAACGTACATATTTCAGTCGTATATTCTACGTACTTGATATACTATTTTAAAATCATAAAATTATCAATTTAATATATAAATTTATATTAATCACCCAATCTATATATATATTATAAAAACAACTATAAAGCATGTTTATGAAATTGGAATTATTTACCCTTATCAAATTTGTTTACATTCAAGTGTTTTGTAAACGTTTTTTTTATATATATATTTTTATGTAAGCTCAACGTCTAAAAATACGAGAAATCTACGTCTATAAATTTTGTTGTTGTTGTAAGCCAAGTAATAATAAAGTTGTCTATCGTTTTCCTAAAAATAAACGTTACTTATAGGTACCAATAATTTTCTACGTGGTTCAGTAACTGAACTTCAGTTTTCATAATACTTGTATACATATGTTCATGGTTCGCACTGTTTCGGTATTACTCGTAACTAAGACGATTGTTTAAACCAATAGGCGCGTGTCACGTGATCATTCCTTCTAGACGCTTCGTTTTGCCGTTACCGGTCACATGTGTCCTGTGTTGATAATGGCTGCCGTATAAGTTATGTTTACTGTTTACTGTGAGTGGATAGCGAATAATTTATTGTATTGTTTGGTGGGAATACAGCTAATAAAGTAAGTATATACCTACTTTAATTGAAATTTCAGATTACTTAATTTGCACCAAATAACTAATAGGTAATTGGTGTTTTTATTTGACGAAGCCGGCAAAAATCCGTAACCTTTGCAGAAGTTTTAACCATGCGACATATTCGTTTTGCATTAAATTAGATGGTTTATTTTTGGATTAGGTTAACATCACTTTAGAATTTTTAAACGAAGTGGCTATTTATACGTCCGACGTATACAAAATTTGGTAGGTATACGTCTTGAGCTTTCATTGTTGAGTTAGGGTTGGTTTCGCTCACTGTCAATCAACTTAAATGGGCAAAAGTGAGCGAAACCAACCCAAACCAACCCAAACTCAACAACCCAACCCAACCGACCCCGCCCCATTGGCCCCCCCGCCCAATTTTTCAACGAAGGAATATTCATATAATTACATATTATATTATATAACTGTAGCAAAATGAATATTAATGTAAAATTAAATAATATTCCTTTTCGCTATATAAATAAAAAAAAAAGTTGTTGGCGCCAAGAATCGAACCTGGTATCTCTCGCATACAAAGCGGGCGCTCTTCCATCGGAGCTACCGAGCTTATTGAATAATTCGCTAATAATAAACTAGCCAATGAAAGCACAAGACGTATACCAAATTTTGTATACGTCGGACGTATAAATAGCCAGTTTGATTTTTAAAATAATCAATATTTTTTATTTTTTTAAAGATCTATTATTGGTTTATGGTATACTATTTATAAACGTACATTATAACCACTTATTTATTATATTTTTATTTTACCACAGAATAAAAAGTTAAAAGTTATTTAAAATATATGTAAACAGTCGTACTTTTTAGTAACATTGTTTTTTACTGTTTTACAGAGGCAGTGAAACTGTCCTTTCAAGGAAAAGATCAAGTCCAGGGAAATAACTGACAAAGCCATAGGACAAGCCTGTCAAGATTGGCTCAAATTATCAAAGCAATGATTCAATGATTTTAAAACTTAACATTTGTTTAATTAGTTATTTTAAAATAATAAATAATTATTTATGAAAATATATTCGTTTGTCATCTGCTCAGTTTCTTTTTAAACTTTTTTTTTACCTTGGAGTTACTACTACACTAGGTAAGTTTTTGCAAATCTGGAAAGAATTTGCCTCACTTAAATTAAATGCAAAGAATAAATATAGTAAATTTTACTGTAATTTTAATTGCATGCATCCATTGATAACCGTAAAACCATGCATGGTTTTACGATTTTAATTTAATGAAAATGGAATTATTAGAGCTAAAAATATTAAAAAATCATTCAAATGTAAAAACTTTTGTTTTTATTTTCTTATTTCAGATTAGCAGAGCCGCGGCCTAAACAATAATGTTATGTAAAAAATGTCACCTTAAAATAATATTCAATATTAACGTAAGTAGGTATACCTATCGTTTATGGCTATTAGAAGTTTTTGATAAACGTTTAATTTTGGTATATTATATATTAAAATGTAACCTTTATAAAAAACATATTTAATTGTCAAGTTTGTATTATAAATAAACGTATAGTGTAGACGTTTAAAATATGGATATTGCTATAATATGGATCAACCTATATTAGGCGGACATTTTAACCTATATTAGAGGTAGACAATAAACTAATGATATACCATTGGTATAGACAAATATTAAACGTCTATTAGACGATTTTGTGTTGCTTGGGTGTGTCGCAGTGCAGCTTTTCATATATTATTAGCCAATTTCTTAAACTGTGAGCATCCAATCTTTTTTATTCCTACTTTTTAATCGGCTTAATTTTGCATTGCATCTTTTGTTTAATATTTTGTCTAAACAAAAAAATATATAGATAAACACATTACAATATGGTCGATTTAGTAAAATTGGTACAGCGTCGCGGCGCGTACAAAGCTAAATTCACAAATTTTGAGAAATATCTCACTGAATTTGAAAATTCGTTAGTAGACGGGCAAACAGATTTGAGTGAGTCAACAATAAAGGTTTTAAATGAGCTTCTGGATACGCTAAGGCTT